TACGGAGCCAGCTCCTTTGACCAGCCCATCGGTGCTTGGAACACTGGCAATGTCAGAAACTTGAAGAATTTGTTCACGCATGCAGTGGTATTCAACCAGTCCATCGGGTCCTGGAAGACCTCGGCAGTGAAGAACATGCGACAAATGTTCTGGGGGGCCAGATCCTTTGACCAGCCAATCGGTGCTTGGGAGACTGGCAATGTCCGAGACATGAAGGCCATGTTCTACAAGGCTTTCAAGTTCAACCAACCCATTGGGTCATGGAATACCTCTGCTGTCATGGACATGTCCTCAATGTTCACAGGAGCGGTGTCTTTCGACCAGCCCATTGGTGGATGGAACACCTTGCAGGTAAATGACATGCATCACATGTTTGAAGGAGCTGTCGCCTTTGACCAGCCGCTGAATCCTTGGGACACCAAGGCTGTCACAAACTTCTCCGGAATGTTTTTCCGTGCCAGCTCCTTCGACCAGCCAGTTGGATTGTGGGACACGTCAGCCGCCACAGACATGTATCGTATGTTTACAGGGGCCGAAAGTTTTGATCAGTCTGTCTCGACATGGAACTTGACATCAATCCCTGATGCCCAAGCTATGGCCGAAGCTTTCACAGGTTCAGGCATGTCAACTTGCATGTTGCGTCTCAGTTCCGAAGCTTGGGGTTTGCCTGCCAGCATTCGACAGACTTGGTCAGACCAACTCTGTCCCAGTTGCCCTTGTCAAAACACGAACTTGGCATGTGTGGACGAGGCCTGTCGGCCAGTGAACTCCGGCTTCATTGAGCTTGGGAGAGGTGCTTGGGATGATCGAAATGCAAGTCTGACAACTGCTGTGGGCTTTCGAGCATGTGTCGAGAGATGCAAAGACTTGGAGTGTGGTGCTTTCCTTCTGGAAGACTCTGGGCGCTGCTGGCTGATGGACGACATGAACGACCAGAGTGAGCTCAGCTTGATAGGACATGGTGACATGGTCGGTTGGGTCAAGTTCCCACTTGAAAGTCTTGTCACATCACAAAAGCTAGCTTGGTGTCATATAATAGTTGTTTCGACAGTATATGGCTCAGGTTTCTTGTGACACAGCTCACATATATCAGGTTGCCTTTATATCAGGTTTCTGCACCGGCGCGGCCTGTTCATATGTTACCATTTCGCCCCCACCACCCCCACTCCCACCACATCTGGAGGATCGGGTCCAAGCTACTTGGCGTTTCGCAGGGCCTCGTGCCGCACCTTCTCGTGCCCCGCGGGAACGACGTGGACGGCGACGAGGAGACCCAACGCCTCGGCCGTGAGGGCGACGGTGACGGCGGCCTCCTGTTGCAGGTGCGCTGCTCCCAATGAGGTTCCCGTTCGGAGCATGGAGCCTGTCGCTTGGAGCTGCAAGAGTGTGCAAAAAATGTCGTGTTGCTCCCCGTTCTTTCTAGTTAAGAAAGACTTTGTTCGATTTAGCAAGATTCCACGGGTTCCGTGATCAAGAGATCCGCCAGTTTTCTGAGATCTTTGCACAAGCTCAATCCCTGTCGCATGTCTCCAGTAAAACATGATATATAATTGATAGGTCAAGAAGTTGAATACATGTTCTGTCTTCTTTCCAAAGGGTCGACAGCGAGCGGTGCGTGTGTTTGCCCCAAAATGCCAAAGCACCACACAGAAACACCGAGAGGGTAGGATGGGTAGGGGGTTCTTCGAAGAACATCGAAGAACCTGTCAGAAGCCAAGTACCCAGACGCTCCAAACAGCCCTTGATTACTAGGGATTTGAGGGTCCGGCCCTCTCCATATGAGGGCATATGAGGGTCCAGGAGCGTTTGGGTAGGCGAAAAAACGGATAAAGACGGTGTTTCGGAAGACCTTTGTGGATCTGAGGACTTGGAATGCCGGAGCTGTGCAGCTGGAAAAGCTCCCAAGGATGATCGTTGTGAAGCATGCGCCTCAGGCGAAACCCGTTGGTGAGGACGTTTCAGCGAGTTTCGGTGTTTCAGCGAGGTCGGAGGGGTCTAGCAGTTGTACTTGTACTCTTTCTTGAGCATGTTTCTTGCACCCGTTTTGCCTTTCAAACATGTGAAAAGCTCACTAGGTTGTTCAAAGTTCAAGGGCAGTCTCTGAGTGGTCACGCGGTTTGTTTGTACAACCTCTTTGTACCTCATACCCTTCCGTAGCCCTCCACTTTGGGCTCGACGAGTCGTGGGGATAAGTCTCGGTTGGTCCAGCCTGGTCTACAGGATGCTCAGATGCAGAGGCATGCAGAGGCTATCAAGAGGTCCACTCAGGCTCCGAAAGAGATCGAGTTCCATGAGAGTTCCGACGGTGGGGCCACCTGGCCGTTGTCCCGACAGGTGCTAGGGGTTTCGACCTCTTGTGGTGACGACCGGTCGGTGATCGGGTTTTTCATCGGCCAGGCTTTGCCCAAGCTGGTGCTGTGCGATGTGAAGACTGTCCACCTGGAGAGGTTCCTGTGCTTCCGAGCCACTGGGTGAGTTGATTGGAAGGATGAGGCCGCCGTCCAAGTTGAGTACAGATGAGTCTAGTTGGTTGGTTGAGTGATCTGGATAGATCACCAAACTACATCCAAGTACTCGTGGATGCTTCCACCCGTTGAAAGAAGGTACATGGGTTGAGAAGGGACAAACCATAATATTTGCTGTGTTTTGGAGGGTTCAGGCGGGTGTCTATTTTTCAGAGGAGTTCACTACATCATCCATCTCAACTGGCTGTGCTCAAGTAACTTCTTTCAGTTCCATCACGTGCTCTCTAAGACTCTACTGTTGGAATCCAAAGATCAGTGAAGCAGTTGTCATGATCCACTTTCAGATGTGCCCAACTCTCCGAAACTTTTGGTTACACAGTGACACACATAGTAGTTACACCACTTACACCTGTTTTTCTGAGTCAATACAGAACTTATTTGTCCTGGTTTGAGGGGTTGAAGGACTGTCGTTTGAAGGTGCAAGATGTTCTTCACTAAGGCCGCACTGACTGCAGGGCATGCGCTCCTGGCCATTATTCCGATGGTGATACGTGCCGGTCCTGTTCATTTCCCTTTCTCTTGCTGGACAACACCTGCGCCTGGATTGAACAGTTTATCTCATAACTTTGTTGCATGCTTGACGCAAGAAGTAGACACGCTGTTAGACGAGCATTCACACAGGTGCTTCAAGATGATGCATCCTGTGCCAACTTTCTCTTCTGTCCACATTTTTTTCAGTCTCCTGTTACGTTCTGATTCTTGTAGCTTTTTCTCGATTGAAGAAGCCAGAGGCTGTCATTTGGCGGTCTCAAAGGATTTGACCAAGGTGTTTGGTGGCACCTTGTGTTGATCATCGGCTTGCTGGCCCTCTCCTCCGGCATCGTCTTCCTCCTGCACCACATGGCCAAGAGGCATCGACGGAAGCGAACAGAGATCCGCCAAGAGGAGGTCGGGTTGAAGGATCCAGCACATGTTGAACAAGCGAAACCTTCACCTTTGCATGGAATCAATATAAACGAGTTTCTTCCTGTTTTAGTCGTTTCATCACTTTTCTTTGTCCATCTATCTCTGTGTGCATCAAGTATATTCAAGAATGATCCGTGAAGTTCAGAACATCCGCTAACTGCGCATGGATGACTTCGTCGCTCGCCATGCACCGGGCCATGACACCATGAGGTGAGTCAGATCCTTCAAGAGTTTGAGGACGAGCTGTGGGATGAGAAGCCTGAGACCGTGAACAGGCTGGAGTCCTGAGTGGCAATCAGCCATCTGCCAGTCATTGGAAGGATTGAGTGAGTGGCATATGGCACGCACGTTTTTTTCTTTATAGTATATTATATAGCCTTGAAGTGCTTTGAAGAACTGTTGCCTCCACAACCGTGTGGCACATACCCTGCCTCCAACACACCTATAGGACAACTTTCTACGAACAAAACAACCTGACGTTTCACAATAAAACGAGGAATCGAGATGCTAGCCGGGTGCTCAGATGACGCTTGTGCCATTGAGAACTCGTCGACCTTGATCGGGTCGTGCGCAGGTTTGTAGTGGCCCTGAGCAGCTTTGGATGGAGCTGGGGCGAAGTGAGCCAAAGAGCGCAGGAGTTGCTTGGACAGCAGGTACTTGTGTATTCCACATGGAGGATATGGTGGTGTGGCTTTCAGGGAGGCTTGCGATGATTCACTGACTATATATGACGATGATTCACTACATTGTCTTTTAGATTATTCAGGGTCACTTCAAAGTTTACAAATCCTTGGCTTGGAACGAATCCTGAAGCACTGGATGCCACTCATTGTGACAGGTAATTACGGCACCTGACGTCCAATCGCTCCATCAGTCAAGGATGCGGGCTCGTCACAGCAGCCACGCGGGTGTGAGCCTTGCATATCTGATGGGCGATTTTGCACGGTTGGCCTATGACTGGTCTGGCGAAGAGAATCCAACCTTTCTTCGCTTGAAGGAAGCCACCAGGCCGCATGCATCTCCATGGTCGCATTTCTGCTTTCCTTTACCATGCTTTAGCCATATTGCCAAGACGTGTCTTCTGCTTACTTTTAAACATTTTGCCACTAGGCGCGTTCTTGTTGAGGTCTTTTGGCAGGGTGACGAGAAGCTCGGATCCAACATTCGTTGCCCTCGAGATGGCAGACCTGGCTGCGCGCTGGTGGATTGGCTTTCGCCGGAGCATCGACGGCTGCAGACTCATTTCATGCAATTTGACCAGCAACATATGTTCGCATTTGTTGGAGTCCAAGGGACATTCTGTTTGGACGTGTTTCGCAACCTGGACATGCTCTATAGTGCAGGATTGCCACTGAAGTCTTGTTTGGATTGTAGGTGTCTCTTCCATCGGGTTTTGGGATTTTGGTCACAGCAGTTTTCTTTCCCAAGCTGCCCATGCCAGATCTGAGGGGAAACACGCTTGGTAGAGAGGTGATTTGTAAGATTTAGAGCATGGACTGATAATTTTTGAGGTCTTGGAGTTGGAAGTATTCACTTCAACAACTCCAAAGTGCCATGCAGATGTGGAGATCAACCCAAGCAATGGAGTTTCAGGACCTCTCAGCTGAATCAAGTCGATTTTGGAGTGAAAAGGGATGGAAGGAGGTTATGGAGAGTCTTAAATTGATTCTAAGTGCCCTTGATTTGCTGGGGTTTATGCACTGGCAGAAATGGCTATGTTGACTATCTCGTGTTTGTGAAATTTCTACTTGAGAAGACCCTTCGTAGAGGTGTAGAGGCAGTGCTTGAGAAACATGCAGGACGTTTTCTTCTACATGTGCTTTTTCGTGAACAACCAGTTCCGCATCATCGTCGAAGGCTCCGCCACCGGCAGCGACAATCTGGAAGAAGTCTTCCAGACGAATCTGCGACGGATTGGGCAGGTCGTGGCAGTGTTGGACACCTGGGAGGAACCAGTCTACTTGCAAAGGGTCTGGACCATCTACGAGCAGTACGTCGCTTTTTCCTTGCAGGTCCCGGTGACCTTCGTCATGCCGGAGGATGCAGCAGCTTCTCGGCACAAAAAGAAAGGAACAACTTGAGCAAGGCTCGGGTCTAGAGTCTAAAGCTCCCCTGGTGCAGATCCAAAGTCAGTTGTAGCCGTAGCCTCCTTCAAAACAGTGAGTTCGCAAGTTTGAAGCATGCAAGGCTTCGCTATCGAAGCAGATCCTTGTCACATCTATTCAGCACACACTTTTCTATACTTTGGTTCAATATACACCTCCTCAGCAGGGGCTCAGCCTCCAACACCGATTTTGTTGGTGAATCTCGTCGTTGGTGTGTTCACCAGCGCCTCCATATCGTCATGGCATCATGGCAGCCGGCCCACCATTTGCAGGATCTCGCGTGGCGACGCCGGCATCGAGGAGGTGACCCAGTCGTTGTGCGATGTCAACGTGGCGGCTGCACGTGCCTTCGATCCGCGCGACGAGCAGAAGGTGAAGACCACGATCCAGTCCACGGTTCCGTGATCGAATTGGGTGCGGCCGGTGCGACCGGGGGGGATATGGGGTGGATGGGGTGGTGAAATGTCGGGTGGGTGACCGGGTAGAGAGGTGAGTAGCTTGGATCCGGGATGGTTTGGCATTGCTTGAACGTGTTTTTGGGGACAACAGGAAGTTTTGTCCCAACTTGCCAGTTGACTTAGTCAGTACCAGTAAGTACCCCATTCTTGAGCCGCCACTGGATAGAAGAGAATGTCCAGGATATAACCAGCAGTCGGATTTGGGGTGAGGAACGTGGATGAAATTCACTGTAAGGAGATTTGGAAACATTTGGAAAACACCTTTGAAAGAAGTTGTTTGCATTTTTTCCTGATGTTTGTTGGGTCGTTGCGCTCACGTTGAGCAAAGGTAGGCTTTGACCAAGTGAATCAGCACGTGAAGGATGCCATGATCCAATGGATTTGCGTCGTGGTCCGGGAGAAATTCCAACGACTCATCAACAGAGCCGATCGTGAGGACGTTTTTTCTGTCTAGCAGAAGCCTGACAGCTAATTAGTTCGCATGTGC